TAAATAAATACATTACCATGAGATTCATTCATTCATGCTTTAGTTGGAAACTGTTTACAGTTCATGACGAATGACTGCTTTCTCAAAAGAGAAAAAATATTATTTCCCTTGGCAGTTTGACGAGGAGTTTTATTTTGTTCTAGTTCATTTTGGTGGGCGACATTGTTGCTGATTTAGAATAAACAACATTAAAGCACTCGTTTGTAATAGCTTTAGGTCTCGCAGAGTGCTACTCTAAAATGACTAACTAGTACTACTTAGTGAGCTTATTTTGTTTATATAAACTTACAGAAGAAAAGACAGGGAACCAGGGAATCACTCCAGAATGCAGTTGTCACTTCAGAGATGAGAAAAAGAGTGCTGGCCCAGAAATTTACACACGTAATCCTGACAAGTTGTTTCCAATCAGAAAGATTACCTCAAAAAAAGGAAAAAACAGAGCACTACACAGAGCACTAGTGTGCATGACATGGTGCAGGCCATTCGGGACAAAGAAGAGGAGGCACTTCCTTTGCAAGAAAAACCTTAAACAAGCGAGATTATTCTTGAAGCCGAACTTGATCTTGCAAAGAGGGAACTTGAGCAGCAGAGAGAAGCTGCACAGTACCAGAGAACACATTATTCTGCATCAACTCTTACCACAGATGTTCTTCATATGGAAACTGGACTACCAACAAAAGAGGTTTTCCAGATTGTAGTAAGTTTTGCCTCTAGATTTAAAGATTCTTTGTCATACTACGTAGGTTGGAGGGTGGAGTCAATAATTTTTGAAGATCAAATTTTAATCACCCTCATGAAACTGAGACAAAACTATACTAATCTCCACATAGCTCAGTTATTCTCTTGTAGTGTTGCTACCATTTCAATTGTAGTTACAACATTTGTTCATGTTTTACACAATATCTTATTTGATGATTTGATGACCACTATCCCTTCTAGGGAGAAAAACAAATTATGCTCTCCTTCATTATTTTCAATGTTTACTAGCTGTAGAATAGTTATTGACTGTACAGACATTGAAATTGCAGCACCCAGTCTTATGAGTCAACAGAATGCAACATATTCAAACTACCAAGGCATGAATTCTTTTAAAGTTATAGTTGGGGTGGCACCCAATGCAGTTATAACGTATGTAAGCAAACTGTATCCAGGATCAATTTCAGATAAGGAAATTGTCAAACAGTCTGGCCTAATGAACCATATGGCAAGTGGTGACCTGATCCTTGGAGACAAGGGGTTCTTAATTCAAGACATTGTCCCAAAGGGTGTTTCTGTGAACATTCCTCCCTTCTTACAGAATGGAAAATTCACTGCCAGTGAGATCAGGGCTACTAAAAACATTGCAAAATGCAGAATTCACGTCGAAAGGGCTAATGCACGGCTGAAGGATTTTAAGATACTAAACTTTGTACCCCCCTACTTAAGATGTTATGCTGAGAAAGCATTTCAAGTCTGTGCTGCCCTTGTAAATCTTCAGTTTCCACTGATAAAGGAAGGATGTGAAGGTGCAGAATTTGAGTAAAGATGTGCATGTAATGGAGAAATTGAGAAAGTATTTAATTAATATGTATTAGCTCTGATGCTTAGGGGACTAAGACAATCAATTAACCTTGATGTATTGTTTTTGTTGTTTTCTTTAAGCTTGAGAATCAACTTTAAATTCCAACATGTCAGAGCTAGCCCATCTATTTGGCCTTTATGTTTAGAAAATAAGGGTGCATTTTCTATTTTTGTAATGTATAGTATGTTAACAAAATAATAGAGCATTTGTCTGAAGTCACATACAGTAAAGCCAGCATTTTCAGCTGTAAACAAATGCAACTCTAATCTTAAATGTTATAGAAAACATAACATCAAGAATATTTGATAATTCTCAATAAAAATGGGTTTGTTTTCAGTACTGAACATGGAAGGTTGCTGTTCTTGTTATTGTTCCAGTATTAAAATTGTCTAATGGGAACATGGTACAAACTTCCTGCTGGTTTTAAACCTTGCAATAATTCTACAAACTACAGTTTTCCCTCAACAATTTTGGGGAAGAGGTGTTTAAAGTAAAATTCCCTGAACCTGGTAAGGTTTTCCTCCAAGGATGGATCCTTCTTGATTTCAATAATTACACACCAGTGATTTGTCCAAACAACAAAGTAACAGTAACTTCGTTTGGCTAAGTACATTTGCCCTTGCACTTGGTGCCAGTAGACATGATTCCTTTTTAGTGAGTATGATCCATCCTCTTTTTTCTCCAAACAAAATGTGTCACTTTTCAAAGCTTCCTCAATACTTGCATCTCTGAATGTATAGGAACACTTCGCCTCTAGAACATGGTCTTCACCCACTAATCCATCAGGGGAAGCTCCAAGAACACCTGACTCGTCAAGCCACACCCCTGTCTCAACAACTTCAAGATGAGTTTTGGCAGTAAATGTTTTGATGGCTTCAGCCTCATTTGTGACTCCCCATGCCACAGCTTTGACACGTGAGATGTCATATTCCCCCAAGAGACGCTTAATAAGGGATGGGGTAACCCTCTTAGCATTGATGACGGAGCCAAAATTGCTTGCAGTCAAGCGCCCCTTCCTCACTAAATGCCAGGAGGGATTGTTTCTCTGACTGACAGTTAAAGAGCTGATTTGATTTACAATTTCTCTCTCAACCTTTAACTTTCGTCTGATAAACTCTAGTTGTTCAGCAGCAATAGATAGAGTGAGAAATTCCTCGGAAAAAATTTAGCTCTTCCACTGTTGAGACAGGTAGATCCCCTAGTTGTTTTGGCTCTGGGCTTAACAGCCAGCATAGGCCAGTGAACTTTCCATACGCTCGCAATTCTGAATACAGCGCTTCTCGATCGCCTTGATTTGGTTTTCGGAGTAAGGCTGTATATCCTGGCTTGGTTGGAGGAAACATTTCAGAAATAGATTTCCGAGAAATATCAGGTGCATTCCGTTTTTTCCATGAACACTCAACATCAGTCTGACTCAAGTTATAAATTCCATAGATGAACAGAGCTGCAGCATGGCTACATTTATAAGCTCCCCGTGAACACTCGCACTCACTCGATTTAATCGCATTGTTTTGGTCAAGGTATATCTAAAAAGAAAATTATAATAAACAAAGTTTAACAGTATTTTTCTATAAGCTTTCATTTGAATGGTGGTCATTTACCGCATTTCACTTACCTTCACATTATACACTTTTTTTTTTTCATACTAGCATGAACCTGTCCCTTCAAAACACCTTGACTTGCACTAAAGCTTTCCACATGGTTAGATTTGAAGTGATTTTCACCTCGTGAAACGGATTTATTCTCATTTTCGAAGAAAGAAAGTAGAGATGCAATTGTCAGCACCACCATCTTGTTTCACGAGCGTTTGTTTAGAACAGGAAATTTGGTTGCCATGGAAGCGTGACGTAACTGCTTTAGTACTCTATTACTTAAGCAATTTTTGCAGTAATATTCTTGATGGTTCTCTACTTCTGAACCTTTTTTTGGTCTTCACAGTTTGTCTCATTACTGAAAGTGATCTTTGATTTTCTTTATCACTCATCTGAATATGTAGTGAATTATTTATATTAACCACATTAACTGAACCAGGTACAGCCTTTAAAGGTGCATCATTACAGTATTCATCACAGTTATTTTTTTGACTAAGCAATCATCACAACAACCTTTTTTCAGGATTGCAGTTTTCTCTTGATGGACTTCATTTGTGTTCCCAAAAACAACTTTTGAGCCCAAAGTATTAATCATATCACAAAGCACATTCCTGGTGTCCAGAGGAACATCAGTTTTTGTATCCCAAAGTATATTATTAGTGTCTCAAAAGACATGATTTGAGCCCCAAAGGATATAGTTAGTGCCCAGAGGGACATATTCAGTATCTTGGAGGAAATCTCTCCTGTCCCGAAAGACCAAAGCATTTCCTCAAAGAAAAATATTTGGAGTTGAAGTGGTTGTAAATCACCAAAGCATTTGAGAAACTTTGATGGCCATCTTTCCATTCAAAACTTTTAACAATTTGCCCTGATCTCTGAAAGACACTTTAACAACAAATTTTTGGTACATTTGAAGAAAGGTCTGCCTGCTCCAACAAGAAAGATAATAGGAAAACATCATATACTTACTGCTAATCCTGAATAAAGCATTACTACGTGCAAAGTCCATGTGAAGAGTCATGCTTATGCTAAGAAAACGGTTAGGGGATAATCAGAGCAATAGATCGATTTAAGAATATGCACAGTTTGTAGACATTTATAATTGTGAAAATGATTGTGAAATTGGCAATTTTCAATCAGGATGCTACTATTTCACAGAATCCAAACAATTTATTACTGTAGAAAACATGTCTAGTTCTAATCAAAGGCTCCTTTGGGCTACCTCATGGTATATCATTATTATTTGTATTAGTTTTGTATTGTAATTTTCTCTTTAAATTGAATAATTAAACGAGACTTACCTGTAAGTTGAAGTTTGATTGAGATTCTACCGTAGCATTTGCAGAAATGAAGAGATCACATGAGATAGCAAGTCACGTGACTTCGAGCTCAGTCTTGAAAGCATTTTTTTTTTTTTTTTTTTTTTTTTTTGAGGAGTCCTGTAGACCACCCCATAGATGAATAGTAAATATATGGTGTATGCAACACCATAGGATGATATGAACAGGGGGAGGGGAAGGGAGGGATGTGATCTCTTCATTTCTGCAAATGCTACGGTAGAATCTCAATCAAACTTCAACTTACAGGTAAGTCTCGTTTAATTATTCAATTCTACCTCGCATTTGCATACATTCTGAGATCACATGAGATTTTAGAGCTCTATAGGGCTCTCAAAAAATAAAGAATACACATTCCAGATAAGGAAACGTAAGCATGGCATTTATTACCAAGGCACTAATTCTTTCCCAGTACACTGTTGGCAAAGGAACTATCATTTAACAGTGGTTTGTTATAATAAACAGCAAACACAGAGCTTGAACGCCAGCCAGCTGTGGTCATAATTTCATCTAGAGGAACATCAGCTGACTTTTGTGATCTCTTGCAGCAAGGGAAGAATTTTCAATAACACTTCCCCATCCTTCTAGAGAGCTATCACATTTAAGGGTTAATTTGTATTTCATAGGCCGGACAGAGCATGGATCATTGTCAATATTTGAAAGCCACCAAGACATGTCTTTCTTAGCTATGAGCATTCTGTCATCTAAGTTCCACCCATTCGTCTTTAAAGCATCAGTTTTGTCATTTTCAAGAGCACGGTAATACAGTGGGCCATATTTGACTCCAGGAAAACATGACACCATTTGCCCAACTACAGATGCAACCTCTCTAATAAGAGGCTGCTCCGTTCTGAGGAGCTGTAAAATGGCTGATTTCACTTTATCAGCCTTGTCCGAGTTCATAGAGACTGTCATCACAACCGAGTCTAAAATGAAACCCAGGAAATTGACTCTCTGGGATGGGACAAGTTGGGATTTATCAGAATGGATAGTGAATCCCAGAGACTGCAACAATGTAATAGCCCTTTGTATAAATATGACCAATGTCTGAGGGTCATCGGCAAAAAGTATAATGTCATCAATGTAAATTACTAGAAGCACCCCATCCTCCCTTAATTTGGCAAGGGCAGGTTTTAACAATTTGGTAAAAATTCTGGGTGCACTAGAGAGGCCATTAGGAAGGCAAACAAATTCATAAAGTTGGCCTTCGTGCTCGAAACGAAGGTATTTTCTTTCCTCAGTCCTAATAGGAACAGAGTAGTATGCGTCTTTTAGGTCTAAGACAGCCATCCAACAATTAGGCTTCAGAAGTTGAAGTGCGTTAGGCAGTGAATCCATCTTGAAGTGATGGTACTCAATATGCTCATTTAGCTTTTTCAAGTTCAAAATAAGACGGTGAGACCCATCTTTTTTGGGCCTGGTGAAAATTGTTGAGATAAATTCACCAGGAACATGAGTAGCTTTCCTAATGACCCCTTTAGTTAAAAGCTTGTTAATTTCAGTAGTAGCAATATCTGTCTCTTTACCAGAAAGTTTGACAGCTCTAGGGGTGAGCGCCTGGCAAGGAGGGTTGCAAAACTCTAGTTGGTAACCCTTAACGATGCGTAAAATGTAGGGGTCAGACGTGAGCGTCTGCCAAGCACTAAAATGCTTAGCTATGTTTCCAGCAATATATACATTGGTACAAAGAGGCGAACATATACTTACTGTGCTAGTAGCTGGCAGCAAGTGTTCTATTGGCTTGTCCGGGTTGTCTTGTCCCGGTTGTCTTGTCCCGGTTGGCATTGTTCTTGGATTTCCAAGGTTTGAAGTTGTTGCCTCTCCAGTTTTTTGACTGCTTATAGCCATTATAGCTGTTATTGCCCGGTCTTCCTGGAGAAGGGCGATGCCCTTTATAATTAGGGGTGATCTTGGCCCCGATTTTGTTTTGATCGCCAATATCTTTCAAATGCTTTTGTAGATCATCTCCAAAGAGAAAATCTGTGAATGGCAATTGGGAGGAGCAGAGAGCTGAGTATTCCCTCCCAATATCTGGTCTCAGTAGAAGACGGCGCTGCATGTTTATTTCATAAGAGGCATGAGTGAGGAGGGACATGGCCTCCAGCCCCTGTTTCTTTAGGTCTTGGCATTCATCAGCATTAAGCGATTTTGCCTGCATAAGCTTGTCCGTGATTCGGGCAACTGGCAGGATGCCTTTTGTGAGGGCTTGTTGTATTTTGAAAAATTGTAAATCTCTCTTCTCAGTTGGCTCTCTCAGTCGACGCCAAATGCCCGGGTTTACCTTGGGAGGCTTGGCTGTAGTACAATTAGCCGGTCTCTCCTGCCTCTCAAGCTGGTCTTTGAGATTTTTCTCGCTTAGTTTGCAGCGGAACATTTTGTCACCTAGCTTGGCTAGTTTCTCATTTTCGAGGCTTTCGCCCACAATATCGTCAGACTCGTATTCTTTTACGAGTTCCGAGAGGAAATCATCCTCATCACCACTATGAGTGGTTTTTGGCTCTGACTCATCACTGTTGTTGTTTAACACAGAGTCATAGAGTTTCTCGCAGTCAGTTGACTGGTCGGAGGCGCTCGTGGAGATTCTCGCCTCGCCATCTTTGTTTTTTGCTTTTTTGGCGGGAACAGCGTTTGGAGATTTGCTCGCCGGCCGTTTTCCTTTGTCTTTTGTCTCTCCCCGCGGCGAATTGATGAGTTCTGGCAGGCTTTTCGTCAGGCCTAGAATTGCGTGGGTGAGTTGGCTAATTTCTTCCGAGGAAGCGGCTGTTTTGTCCTTGAGTTGTCGTGAAGCGTGTGCAGGCACCGCGTTGCGTTCGTCGGGTAGCGAATCCTTGTGGTATCAGACGAGACTGTTGGCTTTCTCTGAACAGAGTTTGAGCTGTTTAGGAGTTGCTCCGCTCCCTTTACTATGGTCTTAATCAGTTCCGCCAATGAGCTTGTATCATAGAGAGAAGTAATGTCATCTTTGGGTAGTTCTTGGTACTCCAAACTCTCCTGATCCTCATGCTGCTCTTTACCTTCAGGAATGTTCTTGCCTTTTGCTAGGTCTTTGACACTTAATTTGTCAAACTTGCTGATGTAGTGAACTCTTTTGGTTTCAGTCCAGTCAAGCCATCCCTCGGCTGTTACTTCAAGGTAACTCGCAATATGGGCAAGCTTTTTATTCATTGCTCATCCCACAGACTGCCTTGCTTAATTCCAATTGTGGTTCGCAATCAATCTCTTCCCACACTTCTTTTACAAACTCCAACTTTGTGAGGTTGTCTCTACTGTTCTCTTTTCTGGTGACTGCCTCCTTTTGCCTTGTGAATTTCTTCTCGACACTTTCGCCATATTGGTGTAACAACGCAAGGGCTTCCTGTTGGAATCAGAGGGCATGCCTGCCTTTCTTCTTGACTAGGTAATCATAGAATCTTTCTTCATCTTCTTGTTCACTGACAGATATGTCCAGAACTGTGGATCATTGCCAGTTATTCGTCTTTCTTCTTCTTGTAGCTCATCTTTTACAGCAGTTAGTTTCGATTTCAGATCCTTCTTGTCTTCAGCCTCAAGGAAAGAGTTGGGGTGTGTTCCAAGTATTCGTTCAATGAAAAATATGGAGCGTTATTAGGGTCAAATTTAGAAAACAAATTATGTTATGGTGTTTGATATTTCATTCGGCCGAACTACAGAATTATGTTCCAGCGTTGCATGGAATTATGTTCGGCTCTTTTAACTTCAATAAAAAATGCAATAAACTATGTTCGGCTCTTTTAGAATTGTGTTGGGAGTATTTCACTTATAACTAGGCTGGCAGTTTTTTTGAGTTTAGTCCAATTTTGTTCGGCTCCTCCGAATTACGTTCGGAACACGGCTACTTGAATTATGTTCGGCAAGTAGACTGGTAGCCTCGCGATAAGAAATTCACGAGGAGTCCCAGGGCGAGAAACATTTCCCGCGCTCTCTATAATTTATTCTAATTATTACCAGTGTTCGTGTACTGTTCTGTCGAACATGGCGGACGAGTCGATTTCTTTAGAATTAAGCAGACATGTAACTGATATCATAAGTTGTCTTCAACGAAGTACTGGTCAGAATGATGTAATGCAATTCCGCCTCGACTGGTTATACAATGCTGTTGTACGTTATTGTGACAATATCCCTTCTGGGGAGGCAGTACTGGCCCTTATTCAAGAAGCGAAAGAACTGCTAAGAGAAAATGAGAATGGTAGTTGTAGTGAGAACGTCGCGTTTCAAGCAGAGGTTGCAACTACTGGCAAGCGAGGTAGACCACGCATTATCATTGCAAAGGATCAGCTCGAGTTTTTTTTAGATTTGGGGTTTAAATCCGGAGAGATTGCATCTCTGCTTGGTATCAGTGAAAGCACTGTTAAACGAAGAATTCGTGAGTATGAAACATTTGTGAGGCAAAGATATTCAAATATTACTGATGAAACTTTGGATGGCCTTGTTGAAGAATTAATGAGAGAATTTCCCAATTGTGGCTACAAGAGGATGACATGCAGCACCAATAACCTGGCAAGTACGGTACTCGATTGCTTTCTCCAAGCAGTTGGGGGTTTTGGTCTACCTTCAAGAGTACGGTCTGATAAGGGTGGCGAGAATGTAGACGTTGCACGTTACATGTTGAGTCACCCGTTACGCGGACCTGATAGAGGGAGCCATATTGCTGGGCGAAGCGTACATAACCAAAGAATAGAACGTCTTTGGAGAGACCTTTTTTGTGGATGTCTTCATGTATACTACAACCTTTTCTATGCAATGGAACGTTCTGGAATGCTTGACGCATCAAATGAGCTTCATTTATTTACCCTTCACTTTGTGTATGTTCCAAGAATTAACCAAACAATGCAATTATTTGCCCAAGGGCATAACAGGGCTCCCATCTCTACAGAGAGGGGAAAGAGTCCTCTTCAACTGTGGATCTCTGGTGCTGTCTCAGCTTCAAATCGTGGAATTGATGAATTCTGGAGTCAGGTGTGTTTTGAAAAGGGAAGGGTGGGGAGGGAGGGAGGGAGGGATAAGGACTTTGCAAGAATCTGTTATAGTTTTGATATTCATGCAATGTTATAGTGATTTTCAGACTTGTTTCTCATGTTATCCAATTTGTGGTCGACACAAGTGGAGAAGTACAACCTTTCAGCTTGTTTCCAAAAGTGCAGTCACAATAATAGCTCTTACATGTAAAGTAGCTTGGAGAATAAATCTACCTGAGTAGTCTTCATGAACAATTTTCTTCCAGGATTATGAAGAAACAATAACAGATTAATTGCAATTTTTTTTATTAACAAGAAGTACGTCGCAGTAAATTGGTTCACATTATGCGTGTGGCATACAGCCATCATGAAATGTGTTGTTTACATGTTTTTCAGGGTGACTACTATGGTGTTGACTGGGATGGCCCTGCACCAGATGTTAGCTTAGATGATGAAACTCCAGTTGTAGTTCCCAACACAACAAACCCACTGGAACCAGCTCAGTACTCATCACTCACAAACTTAATTAACCCTCTACGCAACAGTGATGAATATGGAGTTGACATCTACCTGGAGGTACTAACATTTCTTCAAGAAACAGCAACGAGCAGTTAAAGATTTAAAAAAAAGGGACAAATTATATTAATGAAATGAGTTTAATAAAACATCCAAATATGTACCACCGTTAAAAAAGGTGCAAGAACTTGTAATTACTGATAATGACATCCATTTCTTGAAAACACTAATGGTCTGTCACATCCATTTTTTAACTTAGAAAGAGTACTTATATTTGCTTCTAACAAATGCTCGACCAAACCAAAACATTCCAAAGGTGGCCTGTGGTATAACATTTTTCATTTCATGTCCCGGCACTAGATTTTTACTTTTGAATAACCAAAGAAAAAAAAACATCATCATGGCCGAGACTACACTCTGACAAGCTGGCAGAGGAGATACATTTGTTACATTTCAAAATTCAACAGTGATTAACGTGAGCAATGCAGTCAAAACTAGTGGCTTGTAAACTGTAACAATATAAATAAAAAGAGATCCTTACGAAGTCCATGTCTAGAATTAAATGGAACCATAACCAATATAATTCTCGCAGGCTTCTAAAAATTTTTCCTGGAAGTCCTCAAAACTTTTGTGCACAGTTGGCACCTTTAACACCATGCTACAAGTTTCTGCAAAAAATGCTTGGTTGCTGTTGTTAGAAAATTCAACTTCAACTTTCCTACTAAGGCCAAGTGGAGGAACTTTGTCCAGGGATGTCACATAGCGAAAAAACTTTTCCAGTCCAGCACTTCCTTGTTCTGAAAGAGGAAACATAAAAATGAATACATGAGAACAGTCACAGTACCCCAGTGAGATCAAGCTGACATTTATTGGCACAATAATTCATTACTCCTGATAGTTAAAAAAAAGAGAGAAAAAAACAATTCACAATAGGTTTCCTGAAAACAATTTTTCATTTTTTGTAGCAATACTCTGTCCCTTCAATGAATTATCATGATGACAATGGGAAGGATTCTTGATTTGCAGACATCAGAATGAATGCTGCATACTATTATCGACAAATTCACTTATTGTAAACATGAAACTAGTGTTCCAAGTTAAACTTGTACCCTCCCCATCATTGTGCTTTTCACATGTGCATCCCTGCTGCCTTGATGAAAGCCCCCTTAACCCACCAAGAAAACAGGCATGTTTTTTGGGTTTCAACTTAAGTCATTATTATATAACATTTCGACACAAACCATTCTCCAAATTCTGAATGGCTTTAACAAGGAAATAATTGGCCTCCTTGTCATTGTCTTCTTCTTGGAACTCCAGGCATTCAAGTACTTCCTGACTTGTCAAAGCTGCTTGCCAAGTATTCAGGAAATAAGCGCCCATCAGGTCTGGATGGGATTTGATAAGGCCAAGAATTCCCAGTGTCTCTAGTCCTTTACGGAACTGATCCAGTGGCTCTTGTCGTTTTTTCTGCACATCATGCACAATAAGTGTCTGCATTGCATGATTTCTGTTGAGTATTGTGAGAGGCTTCAGCTTCAGATTTATAAGTGCATTCCCAAGAAATTCATCATTAGCAACCTCTTGTAGGTCTTCACTGCCTGCAGCAGCAGTCACCTGTGATTCATGAACATAAGAACATAAAGTTTTCAGTCAAATTGGAAGTGACCATCTCCCAGACTCCATCATCAATATTATTTTGGTGGGGATGAAAAAAGGTTCACTTCCTTATATGCCATTGTGATGATTTTAGATTAGAATGATATGAAAAGTCCTTGTTGTGTTACTGTTTATATATTTAGTGTTTGTTTTGTGTATGGCGAAAAGGTGAATTCTAAGGAAATCTGCGATGAAATACACATTTTTTTGGAAGCACTGCTGAGTCAACATTTTTGTTCCAGATTAAAGCCTGACTATCTCTAAAAACGCATGGTTACCCCAAGCTAACATTAAGGGTATTTTTAAGGGGTTATACTGTTGCTATGGTAACCACTTATGGCAAAAAAAATTATGACATGCTCACTAATGATTGAGCATTTGTGTCATACCATTACTATAACAGTAACTGATAAAGAGTGTTAGTACTGACTGATCAAAGTGAACATGGTGGAAAATGGGTAAGACTTTTAGCGGTCACCTTAAAGGTGAAGTATTTTTGCTGCCATATAATGAAACTATTTACCTTTGAGATAAGGTCCTTGAGCTCCAAATCAACAATGTCATCAACTGAACAGCACTCAGGGGAAACAGATTCTGTCGCAATGTAGTTGTAGGCTGCTGGACTAAGACAGGGAATGCCTATATCTAAATGTACAATTAGATATGATACCATTTTACCAGCAAGTTGAAACAACCTGGAGTTAATGGCATCAATCGAATATAATGGCACTTTCCTATCTTCTGGCCCCTTCGAAAAGGTTGGCTTTGGCTGAGAATATTGCATTACGCAACAGTATGCCATATTCTCTACCTAGCCCTCCTGCATCAACACTTGCTTCTCCTGCAAATACTATTCTAGGGGCTGCTGTGAAGTCAAACTGTGGATTTTTGAAGACAACAATACTCTCATTCCAGAATTCATCCCGGTAAGCACGGATAGGCTTGACATGATCTTCATTTAGTTTTAAGGACCTTTCATGACACTGCATTAGCTCTACCAGAGTTGAGAATGCTTTGGATGCTGGTGGTGTAGTACTGTCTGCACTTGGAGTGTTGAATGGACTTTCTAATAGCTCTGAGTCTGAGTCTGATGTGGAACCAAGACCAATATCCCCATAATAGATGGAATTACATACATGTGCAGTACCTGCAGTGTGAAGTAAGACAATATAATAGACAGGGTCAGAATAATAGAGTTTGTTTGGTAGAGATGACCCCTGCCATAAGAAAAGGTTTGACTACAATAAAATTAGCTACAATAGAATGCACAGTGTTCACTGTTACCACCCATGTCACAAAATGTTAAGGTGAAAACATTCGTTTTTTTTTATTTCGTTTTCTAAAGAAACAATGTCACAAGATCCAGTATGATTTTTCTTGTTATAAGCTCCTCAAATTTAAGTTCCACCTCTCTTCCTTGGTAGTACATGCACATGAACTGGCTTTGGAAAAGATAGTGCCAACTTGTACATCCATACTCAGTACCTATTTTGCAAACATTTCACCTGTACACAAAACACAAAATCAATATACATTTACTCGCACCTGCATTACTGCACAAAATGTCATTTGCTGACTTCTCCAAATCAAAGTTATTCTTTGTGAGAATACGAACCAGATCTTCTTCAGTTTCACCTGGAAACATTTCCCTCAGAGTTTTTAGGCATCCTAGCAAAAAAGGAAAAGCCAGACTTTTTTATTAGTAAAGTTGCTTGTAAGTTGTAAGTATCTTTGTTCATTTGTTGTTGTAAAATTTCTTACCTCTATTTAATGAACTTGTAGCTTCAAGGTTACCACCTTGGATGTCACCAGAACCTTCACGGATACTACTTTCTGTAGAATTCCCAGAGCTGGAACCTCCTTCACAGTCATTGTCATGTGCATGCCATTGACTTAATGGAATCCCCTTTCCACACTTCAGACAGTCAATTAGAACTGCATCAGCAGATTCTGACGGTTCCTATAAAACCCAAACGCACATCAAATTGATGGTTATGTGACCCTGACCCTCTTTCAATGTCTAGTAACTGAAAACAAACAATGCCTCCAATAATTAAAGGCCAGGCCCCAGTTGTTTGAAGGTTGGATAACGCTATCCAGCAGATAAATCACTATCCAGTAGATAGTGCAGTTTCTTTTGCCAACACTTATCTACTGGATAGTGATTTATTGGGTGGAAAGGGTTATCCACTCTTTGAACAACTGGGCCCAGGAAAAAAGGGAACAGGTGCGCATCAATTTTTAAAATACTCTTCCAGTTCAACTGTGTGTGTTTCCTGCGCTTTTTTGCTAAGATGACCTTTTTTTACCAGGTAATAAGTACAGAACAAGCAACTAGGAGTATTTCTAGTCTCCCTGGATGGGATGCTACTCCAGTGCAGGGTTACCCCCAGCAGTAAATTCGCCGGTACCCAGCTGTACCAATTTATACACCTGGGTGGAGAGAGGCACGGTGAGATGTAGCTGATGTAGAGTTGGCTGTAGTGCTTCCCGACGCACTCTCTGTGGGTTTAAGCCTTAGTTCGATTGTATCTAACTCTTTACTGTTGTAGTTGTTGAGTTAAGATCAGGCTTGTCTTGCAATGTTGCTCAAAGCTTGACGAAAATCATAACTGCTGCCTGCCATCTTTGCCATGGTGGTAAGTTAGACCATGAAGTTCATGGTTGAGTGAGAACTGGGCACCAGAACAAGTGCACATATTGCATCATACCATATGGAATGAAAAAATTTAGCATATATATTTTTGAGTCATTCTGAACTGATTTATGAATTGAAGATAAATATAATTTTTGCCCAATTATTTGAGAAACCACAAATAACTGAAGTTAAAGGCATGTTAATCATGAAAGTTTTGAAGGAATAGTTGGAGACACATCTTTTTGGGGAAAATGAGAATAAACTTTTGGAATTGACAATCAATATTTTTGTTCTGAATACTGTCCATAACAGTGCCCCATATGTGAGTTCTGCTTGGAACATCAGAGTCCTCTTTGATCAACAAATGACTCTTGTCGAACACGTCATCTTAGGAATACAGCCAAAATAAGAGACAGTCTCACAAAAAGACACTGAAATCTTAGTTCATGCTTTAATGTCCCCTAAATTAGATGGTAGTAATTCATTACTCTATGGCCTTCCTTAATCTCTGGTTGATTGTTTACAAGCTGTCCAAAACTGTTCTGCACACCTTGTAACTTGTTCCAGGAAACATGGTCATATCACACCAATCCTCACATACATACATACATACTTTATTTGTCACGTAGGTCGATAAATGGCAGCTAAAAAGCTGATGTGGACCTACAAAACTAAAAGAGTGTCTACAAAATTTAAATAATAACAATAACAAGTTGCGAAATTATGGTAAGTAAGAAAGGATGTAAGACCTAGTAAGATAATATACAGTTGATTTACAGTAGTAATAAAAAGTAATAAAATAAATAAAAGTAGTAAAATAGCTTTAATATATGTAATTTACAACGTCTTTATTTAGTCCCTGTAAACCATTAAATGTTATTTTATCTAAAATGTCGGATTTTGCTTTGAGAGCAGATTTGAAAGAAACAATGTTCGGTTTGCTCTTCAAGTACACGGGTAAGTTGTTCCATAGAACAGACGCATGGTGAGAAAAAGAAGATCGACGGAAGTCACTTTTAGGGCGTTGCACGAATAGCTTCAGATTGTCCCTTAGATTTCTCAACGGAGAGTGTTTAGTAAACAAAGAGCTTATAGCAGCCGGAGCTCTATTGTAAAATGCCTGATAGGATATAGTGGCAATCCTCTTTTTATAGAAATATGATAAGGACTTCCATTTTGTCGCTGCCAGAACTTCAGTATTGGGGGTAGATTCCTTTAGGTTAAAAATAAATCTCGCGGCTCCAATGTGAATGTCTTCCAGTGTCTGAAGTGACTTAGAAGATCCCCATAATGCAATAGAATACGCAATACTTGGAATGATACCTTTGAAATAAATTGACTCTAAGAGGCGATTGTCGAGTCCTTTTAGGTGTTTGAGTTTCTTCACTCTTGCCGAAAAACGTTTGCTCAAAGATTTTATATGTGGCGACCAAGAGAGTTTATTATCGATAAGAATCCCTAAACATGTAGCTTTGGAAACAAATGACAACTCATTTTGCCCTAAACAAATTTTCTGTAGGGGTCCGATGAATCTTGATTTTGATAACAACATTAGTTCACTTTTTGCGGGATGAATAGTCATGAAGTTATCCTTAGCCCATTTGTTTAAGTCAACGATCGCTTTCTGTATCTTAAATAAAACTTCATCAACAGTATTTCCAATGCAAAAAACAGTAGTATCATCTGCAAACATTTCAACGGAAGCGTTCGTTGTGGCTCCGGGCAGATCATTTGAGTAAATGCTGTAAAGTCTAGGACCAAGTAAAGACCCTTGGGGTACACCCGTATCTATTTCCAACAATTCTGAGTTTGAACCATTTACGGTGACAAATTGTTTACGATTATCAAGATAATTTAAGAGCCAATCGTAAAAAGAGCCACTAATACCTATAGAGTGTAATTTGTCCATAAGAACTGTGTGGTTGACGCAATCGAACGCTTTCCGAAAATCAATAAAGACTACGCCAATAATATTGCTTTCATCCAAGGCTAAACGCCATCGTTCTGTAACGGAAAGTAAGAGCAGCTCGGGTGAGCTTCCTTTTCTGAAGCCCCATTGATTTAAGGAGATCAGATTGTTGCTATATAAGAAGTTATCAAGTTGTTGGCTTACAACATTCTCCAATAGCTTGCCCGGAATGCTGAGAAGGGAAATAGGCCTGTAGTTATCACAGTCGAGAGTATTCCCCTTCTTGTGAAGACATTTTACCTGTGCCTGTTTCCACTGGCTGGGGAGTTTGCATTCCAAAATACTTCTTTGAGCCAGTGGCATAAAGCAATCCAAAAATGCGTCTCCAATAAGGTACAGCTCTTTGCTGGATATGTCATCAGGTCCACTCGCCTTGCCAGGTTTCAAACACCTTAGAGAAGATTTTAAAAGATCTCTGTTAAGGGCTATGTTATAAAGAGAGGCACTGTTTTTTCTTGCGGACTGACAAGGAGAGTTTACTGAAGAATCTTGTGTTGATTTCGAGAGGGATTTTCCAACATTGACAAAAAAGGAATTTAAAGTGTTGGCCTTTGATGTATCGTCTGCGTGAATAACTCCGGAACTATCTTTAATCGGTCCGATATTTGTAGCTGTTTGTTTTCCCTCGAAAGATCTTACTGTCTTCCAAAAATCTCGAGCAGAGGTTGTCTCATTAAATTTTGTTAGCCAATAACTTGATTCCGCTAATCTAAGGAGTTTGGTGCATTTATTTCTTGCCTTCTTGTAATCTATCCAGGCTTGTGAGCCCTTCGGTGTTTTCTGTGCTTTAAGGAGTAGTTTGTAGCGTTTGTTCAGCTCTTTACGTATGGAAGAGTTCATCCAGGGTAGGCCCCCTCTTCTTATCTTTACTCGTCGAGCATGAAGGTGAGATTTCATAATGTCCTTGTATAAATACTCCCAAGCCCAAGTAGCATCGTCCAGATTGTGAAAGACATTGCAGATACTCCATGGGGCTGCAGCAAAGTCCGTTCTTAATGAGTCTAGATCTACTTTTTTATAATCGTAGACTGTTTTGAGCGTTGGTTTCTGACGTTTTCTTTTGAGATTTACGATTGCATATATTAAGTGGTGATCTGAGATTCCTAAATCACAAACACCCTGGTGAGAAATTTTTGAGGTGTCAGAGCAAATCACCAAATCAATCAGCGTTGTGGAGGTGTCAGTGATCCTTGTTGCCTTGTTGATGACATTCTTTAGATTAAATCTATTCAAAAGTTGACGGAATTTCCAGGTTGAAGAATCTGTGTCCCTGGATTTAGGCAAAAGATTAAAATTGAAGTCCCCCAATAAAATTATATTCGTTCGTTTCATCCATATGCGATCCAAAGTAGAAGAAAATTTATTTAAAAACGTAGTGTCATCGGGTGGGCGATACATTGAAGCAACTAGAAGTTTCTGAGACGCCACCGTAACGTCAATCCACGCAGCTTCTAGAGAGTTGTTTACATTTATGTCTCGACGCTCATATGCATCTAAGTATTCAGCAAAGTAGATGACCGTGCCACCGCCTTTTCGGCCATCGTTTCGATCGCATCGAGCAGTTTTGTATCCAGTAATGGCGATTTCGTCGTCAGTAATATCCTTACCTAGATGGGATTCGGTTATGGCTAAAATGTCAAAATTTATCGAAAGTAAAAGAGCTTTAATTTCCAATAACTTGTTAGGAAGACCATTTACATTAATGTGTGAGATCTTCAAACCTGGTAGTTGCAAGTCCGCTTTGAGTGATGGATAAAGATGCGAATCAGATGAGCAACCTAGTGTTGGTAGTTGCAGGTCCACTTCGAAAGATGGATAAAGATGCGAGTCAGATGAGCAATCTAGGTTTGTCTCATTGTCGAATGGTAAAGACGACCAAAGGCAAATCGGACACCACCAGGAAAATGAAGGAAGTCTTTGATAGTTCTTATATTCGCTTGGCCTGATCGAGGCACATTTTATGTGACACCACATGTTGCAGTTATCGCAATTTACCGCTCGATGATTTCGGGCAACACGCTTGTTACACACTGAACATTCATCTGGACCAGGATTTATGTCGATGTCCCCACTTGTGTAGAGTCGCATTTGATGGAATGTTGAGTGCGAGTTCGCATAGTAACATATCCTGGTCGCATGAAAACCTCGCACATGCCACAACAGGCCAAGATGGCGGATCGTTTTCGTCTTCCGTTGATTGCAGAGGCTTGCGTATACTGATATGAGAAAACGCCTCGACCACGAGAAATTCTTCGTGATGGGGATTTTGCTATTTTCTTGAAGAGAAGGCTGTCTTTCGGCGAATTTGGTGAGCGATAAGAATAGTATTGATGCGTAAAAGCAGGA